TTGTACATTATTATTATTATTATTATTATTATTATTATTATTATTATTATTATTATTATTATTTAATTTATATAAAATATTATAATAAAATTTAATAAATTATAAACATCGTGATGATATTTTTATATCTCATTTATGTGATTGATTTTATAATTGATTTGATGTTCATGTTGATTTTTGCTTAATTTAGGTTTTTAATAACTCCATTAGAACTGTGCATCTTTGACACGATTTAAGAATTTGTAAATGAAAAGAGAAAAGTGTGTAAAATTATATAAAATTTAGGTATATTTTATTTACATTTCGTTTATAGATTTTCTTTTATTTTTCAAATTTTCTAACTAAACACAAACTTTAGAAATTTAAAAAAAGAAATAAAAAACTATGTGAAACTATATAAAATTTAGATATATTTTATTTATATTTCACCTATCAATTTTGTTTTCTTTTTTAAACCTCTTTTTCAATCCCTCTACCAAAACCAAACACAATAATACAACTTGGTGGGACGGGTTGAAAAGATCGGCATGGTTGGCGGTTTTAAAAACCAACTCGGGCTCAAAGTGACTCGACAATTCATTTCACATCACACACTCACACACACCCAATCACTTGGCAATTACTATGTTTGGATTGAGTGATTTGGAGAGAAAATAAAATAAATGAAGAGATATGTATTTCTCTTATTTGTTTGAATAGCTTAAGTAGAGATAAATGGAGAGAAACGAAAATAAATCCATTTCTCTTGTAACCCTCATTTTCAATCTTCTCAAAAGTGAAGAGATTAGGAAAGAAAAAAAATCAACAAATTCTTATATTTTCATAATATTAATTTTGTACATGTAAAAATAAAAGAAATAAATGATTGACACCCATGTCCTCAAAATATAAAAGGTTATTTTGGTAATATAGCATAAAATAATTTATTTCCTTTTCTCTTATAAAATCTAACTAGATAAGAAAGAAAAAAATTACAATCATTTCTTTTTTTTCTTTTTTACTTATCCAAATAAAAATGAGAGAAAAATAACTGAAGTATTTATTTTGGTAATATAACATAAAAATAACTGAGCTAATAGTATATAAATTTTTTAATAATACATTAAGTTCTGAGTTCTGTCATAAAATTATAATCATAATGAATAAAGATCATTTTTTCAAATTTCATAAGTAAAGACAATAATTCAAAAAGCAGATATCCACAAAATGTTATTATCATTCAACTTATCTATTTTTCTTGAAACAATAAACTTGATTTCTAACTAATGAAATAATACTAACAATAAATAAGATGTTTCTCGATCACCCTAATGTCTAAAACATATATATGCTAAAAAGAATTAATAATAAACTGAATGCCATAAATCTATCTATCTATATTTGTCATGGGTTTATATATATTTTTAATTTATATATATATATATATATGGTTATAAATATTTGTGGGTTTGTAATTTTTTTATCATTTTATGCCAAATATATTTTTTATTTTTAAAAATTTAAAAATTGAAAATTTCTATTGAACGTTTGAAGCTCTTGTAAAAAAATAAAAATTCAAATAAAAAAATCAAAATTTTAAATTAGATTTGTTTAGTTATACTTCAAAAAAAATAAAAAAATAAAATAGATATTGAGAGGTAAAATAAAGATTTTAATTGAACAGATAGGATCAAATTTGTTAATTAAAAAAGATTTATAACGGAAGCGAGATAGATCAAATTTATTAACTTTATCTGTTTGTATATCAATTTTTTAATGTTATGTTTATTTTTTTTAAAAAAAATAGAAATTAGGAAAATTAGCAAAGGGAACTTGAGACAATACCAGCAGAAAATAAAGTGAAAAGTTAGTATTAAGGGTTTGGAAGCCTTTCATGTTCCATACTACATTCTTATAATATATAAGAAGATAAAAGAAAAGGAAGGGATTGAACATCTTATAAATATTTTATTTTATTTTTTCATATGTACCAAAATAATACATTAATATAACTAATTTTGTCTCTCTTATTTGGTCTTTAGTTTTTTTTTTTTAATTATTTTTTATTATCTAAGATTAATGTTCTAACCATTTGTCTCACATGACCTCGAGCTAAAACTTTAGCAAAAAAGAAAAAACAATCACCATGTTTGGTTCCATTTTTTTAAAAACAGTTTTCATAAAATTTTACTTTCTTATTTTTCGTGTTTTTTTGTTTTTACTGAATTTTTTAAATATTTTATGCAAATTTTTTACTTTTTAGAGACACCTAGCATAAATACACCTAAAAAGTAAAAAAATTGTAAAAAAAAACTTTTAAAAATTCACTAAATACCATAAATACAAAAAAAAAATACAAGAATTCAGTACATTTTTTGTATTTTTATGTATTTCTTAAATTTTTAAAATATTTTTTCACATTTTTTTTACTTTTTAGATACATCTAAGTAAGGTACATCTAAAAAAGTAAAAAAAATGTTTAAAATTTTAAAAATATTCACTAAAAACAAAAAAAATACGAAAACCAAAAAATTCAATTTTCAAAAAACTTAATTCAAAAAATTTAAACCAAACACACTGAATGGTGTGCTCATATCTATTGGACTAAGAAAAAATTGTGCCCAAAAAAATTAAAGTATAATTAACAACAGTAAACACTTAAATGGAAAAGAGATTGGATAAAATAGAGAGAATACATCGCCAGTACTCTTCATCTCATATACACCATTTGTATGATTCAAGATTTTAGTTATACACACACAAAAATACAAAAATACAAAAAAAAAAAAAAAAAAAAAAACCGAAAACAAAAACAAAAGTGTTCTCTTTACATAGGAGTCTTTGATAAGTTTTTTGTTGACATATTGTTTTAAGACTCAAATTGGTCATACGTGCTTCCAAACTAAAATTTCTTCCACATGGTAAAACTTTCTAAGAGCATCTCCAACCGTTCATTTCTTTTTTCACCAAATCTGAGTAAAAAATAAGTTGTTTTCTCAATTTGATACGGTTTTCTCTAACGGTGAGCATCAAACCTGTCGAACAAAATATATGCAGAATTGAGGGAAGGGTCGACCGATAAGGGTAATTTTTATTTATTTTTTAACCTGTTTGAACCTTTTGACCTGTTTGAACCTACCTATTTGAAAGAGAACTGATTGACCGGTTGGTCAACCGGCTAGACATCCAACTGGTTGACTGGTTGGTCTCCCCCAACGGTAAAACACAGTAAAATAGTGAAATCTGGAGCCTGTTCTCACTTTGATGAATTTTTTGTTCCATTCTCATTTTGATACCAATTTGCTGAAACCATTGGAGCTCCAAAAAGTGACTTTTTCACCAAATTTCAAATCTGATGCAAAGTTTGATGAACCGTTGGAGATGGCCTAATTCCTCTATAAAAGCCATCTATTTGATTATTCTAGTAATTCTCAATTATCCTTAACATTTATTGTTGTTTGCTCTCTTTGTGAGTCAGGTATCGTTTGAACTTCAACACTATTGTAACTTTTAAATACTAACTTTTCTCAAATATAAGAAAAATAAAAAAAAAAACATATACAAAAAAAATTGACAAATTGCTTTATTGATACATATGGAATACAAACACACAAAAAATCTATGAAAAGTAATTGGTTTGTCTATATATTAAGTGAAACATATAACTCAAAAACTTGGAAAATAGCTTAAAAAATAAATAAAAATAAAGTAATGGCAACCTCTGTTATATCATATATACCAATTTCTAATTTTTTTTACAGAATGGCCATTTAGGAAGTACCAATCTGACTTTCTTATGAAATGGCCATGGAGTTTTTTGGAAGAGATATACAGTCATATTTTTATTTTTTTGTGAGAAGCAGTGTAAGATTGAAATAAAAATGTAACTATATATAAGGAGGAAAAGACATGTGAGAGAGGAAGTCACGTGAAAGAGGGTACTTTAATTGAGATAAGAGAAAGAGGTGATAAGAGTTTAAAAATTTTAATTTATTTAAAGTGATAAATATATATTTTTTTCTTATATATTTCATGTGAATTTTCTTCTCTTCTCTTTTTTTGGCTAGAAAAAACAAAGTGAGAGAGGAAGAAGTGTCACCTCATTTTTCTTTTCCCTCTCAAAATTATGAGAAATTAGGATTAAATAATTGAGAGTCTGTGAGCTTTTACTATATTTGTTTATATTTTTTTGTGAGAAGTAGTGTGAGGTTGAAACAAAAATGTAATTATATATAAGGAGGGATTTGGCTAGAAAAAACAAGGTGAGTGAGAGAGAAATGCCACCTTAATTTTTTTTTTTCTCTCAAAATTATGAAAAATTAAGATTAAATAATTAAGAGTCTGTGAGCATCTGCTATATTTGCTGATAGATAGATAGATAAATGGTATAGATTTCTTATTTATTCAAATAAAAATAAGAGAAAAATAACTGAAGGATTCAATTCATTTACTTCTCTCCTAGTTACCAAACATAGTGTAAACCTAATTCGCTTACACTCTCTCAAATCAGATTAGCGATAGAGACATCGGCTCTCGCCTCCCCTTACCCCTCTCCCTGCTCACGCCGCCGATGGCCTCACCTCTCGCCGCCGGTTTATAAGGCCGTATATATACATATATATTGTCATTAGGGTTAGGGTTCTCTCATTCCCTCACCTCTCACCTTCAGTCGTTTGGTTTCAAGGCCTCACCTCTCACTCCTTTCGACGTATCGGACGAAGTTTCTCCGGCAGCGGCGCTCTCGGCAGCCACCACTCCAGGTACTGTAATCTCCTCATACGTCGCCACTTCCCGCCACCACCTCCTCTGAGGCAGTGAGTCCCTGACCCAACCCGCCCTCTCTAATATTTTGAATTATTGTGTTCTTTCCTTTAAACTTTGATTAAACGCATCAGTAATGACAGAGTTATAAATTTGATTCAATTTGGTACGAGTTTGAATAAAGGAGGGCGATTTTTAGCCAAATTTATAAATTTGATATATAGGGTTTGAGTCAAGGATTGGAGATGCCGTGCAGAACTATTTAGAAATTACTTGTTTACATTTGTATTGGATGCATGCTTGCTTGCATTGTATATTGTTGTACGTATATGTTGAATATGTTTGGTTTGGTTTGGTTTGGGGGTTACTTTTTGCAGAACTAAAAATGGAGCAGAGACTGGCTAATACCTTGAGGATTACTGTTAATGAGAAGAAATTCATCGAGACTGCTTTACTATCGGACCTTAGAGTTGATGGTCGCCGTCCATTTGATTATAGACGGCTTATTATCAAGTTTGGTAGGTAAGAATTGTTAATGTGGCAGTCTGTCTTATGTTAATGGAGATTTATAAAGCTGTGCAGCTGTGTTTTAGCCTCTAGAGATTAAGATGCTTTTGTTTGTGTATGTCAATTGATTTGGGAAGAGATTTGCCAATGATTTAATTAGTCAACTGCTACTTCTCCCAAATGTTTTGAATGGTTGGTTTAAGGACCCAGTTCTTTTGTTCAATAATCAGTGTATGTGTGAAATCCTCCTAGCTGCTTTGATGGATGATGTTATTTTGTTTATCAAATCAAACCCTAGAGTTCTTGGATGATTAAATTTTTTATTATTATCGTTGCATTTGGTATTGTTGCTATTGTGGCTTCGACATTGCCCTTCTTTCTTGTTGAAATGAGACAATTGTGCAAATGGATAGCCTTAAAATTATGCCACAATTTGTAGGGAAGATGGTTCATCAGAGGTGCAGCTTGGTCAGACTCATGTTATGGGTTTTGTAACTTCCCAACTAGTTCAACCTTATCGAGATAGGCCAAATGAAGGGTCCCTTTCAATATTCACCGAGTTCTCTCCAATGGCTGATCCTTCCTTTGAAGCAGGTCGTCCTGGAGAAGCTGCTGTGGAGTTGGGACGTATAATAGACCGTGGTTTGAGGTGTTTTTTATTTTTATTCTTATCTTTGTATACACATTTAATTTTTCAGAAACAGAATGGGCCATGCTCAAGGGTAATTCTATTTATTTAGTTATTTTTTTTGTGTGGCTAAGCTCTTAAAGCCTTTTTCTCCAAATAGTTTTGACACGGGAGCTTATGAAAGCATTTGGCAATCATGAAAGATCCCAAAATTTCGGAATTTCGGTGCATGTTCTTGTTCATTATGATGAAATCATGCTTTGTTGTTGATCAAACCAAAAAAAATAAAATAATAATCCAATGAAATCATGTTATTTTGAATATGCTCAAGATCTTTTCTTTCTTTTTTCTCGTTGATTCTTACAATTTGTAAAGAATCACAACCATAAATTGCTTGAAAATTGTAAATTTTTATTTTATAGTTTTAAATTCACTAGTTAGTAGTTAATAACATATGAATGCAAAACTTGCTTTGAAGTAATGGCCTCCTATTATGCCTATTGTAAACATATTTGGTAGGGTTTTGTATTGAAATGAAATATCTTGCAGGGAAAGTCGAGCTGTAGACATGGAATCACTTTGTGTTATTGCTGGGAAGCTAGTGTGGGCCATTCGCCTTGATCTTCACATTCTAGACAATGGGGGGTAAATTGTAATATATTTGTAAATCCAAGTCAATATCTTCTATTTTTTTTGACTTTATGTCAGCCTGACAATCTTTTCCTCTTTCTTGATCATGAAAACAGAAATCTTGTTGATGCTGCCAATATTGCTGCTTTGGCTGCTCTCATGACATTCCGGCGGCCTGAGTGTACATTAGGTGGAGAAGATGGTCAGGAAGTGATAATTCATCAACCTGAGGTGTCCGCTGCTTCACTTATTTATGTTCTTTTTAGAAATAAGATTTCAATGTACTTGATGTTGTAAACATTTAACCTTAGTTTTTTAAATGATAACTGTAAACATATGTAAGAATGTTCTGATTTTAGGCCCACAATGTGATGTTTCAATTACCTAAGAAACTTGCTTGCCTCGCAAATTCAGCAAGTCTTTATTGTAGTCCCAAAATATATTCTGTGTCTCTTTATACCTGTGCAACTAATCTTTTCATGTAACTGTAATTGATTGATTTTCTGATAAATCAATAGAGCAGTTAAAAATTCAAACATTCAGGATCTGCCACCCTGGTCTTGTAAGGCTGCAACTTGGCTGTAGACACAATTTGGAGTGTATGTCTATGGCCTATAAAGGGCAATGTTACTAAAGCTTGATTATTTTAGTTGATTTCACTGCAGTGTAACTAATTTTGTTATTGATTTGAGTCTTAATTGAGTTTGTTTGGTGTAGCTTATTGAGATTTCTTATGCTTTTTATTTTATTTTATGTTGAGAATCTATGCTAGAATGTTTGGTGTAGCTTTAGTCCATGTAATGCCGTTATTAATGATTAAAAATATTTGCAATGAAGTAATTACACAAGATGTCTCTCTTTCCTAGTGGGCTATTAAATCATTTTGGTACCTATCACGAATTGTTCTTCCCTATACATCTTTAACGTATATGTGGTTTAACATTTATTTCTTTTTTGACAGGTGAGGGAGCCACTTCCTTTGATAATACATCATCTCCCCATAGCAGTAACCTTTGGGTTTTTCGGTAATGATAACATTGTGGTAGGCAAACTGACTCCTAAAAGTATTTCGGTCTCTACTTATGAAAGAAAATTCATTTATTATTCAGTTCCAGATGTTAGGTTTGCTTTCTAATATAATTAGTGTTGCCTAGGTAATAGACCCAACCCATAATGAAGAGGCTGTTATGAATGGAAGAATGATTGCTACACTTAATACAAATGGGGATGTTTGTGCGATTCAAAAAGCTGGAGGAGCGGGTGTCATGCAGAGTGTCATTATGCAGTGTTTAAGAATTGCTTCTGTGAAGGCTGCTGATGTCACAAGCAAGATTAAGAATGCTGTGAGTTTTTCCCGTTAGAAATTTTTTATTTGATATTTTGTTTCCATTCATGTGTTCTTTCATTATGCATGGTTTGTACATCATGTAAAATTATTGATTGGTTAAATATATAGCTGGGTTTGGACTTTGTCATTGCTGTCATCTTCGAAGCACGGACACTTCTAAGAAGGTGGCGTGCTCTTAAAATAAACTCAAGGCTGTAACACAAGATTCCTAGGAAATAAAAAGCCATTGGCTGTTGCATTTATGTTTCATTAGTAAAAACAGTTCCCAGTTTAAAGAATGAAGTTTTTATACATTCATGCCTTGTGTGTTTTTCCCTTATATCAACAAATTCCTTTCCTTTTCTAAGCATCTCTTGGGCATTGCACAGTAGGGTGTTGATGAAAAAGGATAGATCTAGCTGACCCATATGGGTTGGATAAGGGCATGTTTGTGTTGGGTTTATGGAAAGTTGTAGAATTTAGGTTTGAATTCAATCCACAAAACCTTAATACGTGAATGCAAGAGTTGAGCTTCCACCACTGTAAGGCTCTGCTACTAACATCTAAGATAACTCCCTAAAGATAAGTGCATGTTCACACATCGTGCACGTGCTTTCATTAAGAATTATATGAGGGTTGGTTTTTTGAATGTGAAATAACAGTTTTTCACACAGCAGTTCATTTCATGTGTGGAGCAGAAAAGAGGTCATGTTGATGTCATTTGTCTCCTGTGAAAGTGATCATTTCTGATACCATCTCACTCACTGAATTGATAGATCTTCATCATGCCTAATTTTCCTATGTCAACTTCTGCAGGTTGAATCGTACAACACCGAAAGGGCATTGCGGAAGATTAAACGTCATTCATCTTCTGCTGCTTTGGATGTTAATGAACCTGGTGCTAAGTTGGTGACCAAGAACCAATCTGTAGATCAGAAAGGAGTTGGTGATTTGTCAGGGCGTCATGTAGAAAGATTAAAGTTGATAACAGAGGAATGTGGTGTTAGTCAGAGTAATAACATGGAAGGTGAAATCCAATCATCTGAGCAAGACAGAATCAACGTGAAAGATGGCCATTCAAAGAGTTTCATTGGTGGGCCCTCAAGTTGGTATGATGTTATTCTGTAAAAAAATTTAGGACCTTGCTTTATGATTTACTGAACTCCATTTTAAATTTTTAAATTTATTTTGGGAACATCATATTAACTTTTTAAACAACATGCAAATTAGAAAGCTTGGATTTTCATGTTGATGATACATTTAATTTTGTTTACCATAGCATGATGTTAAAAAGCTGCTGTAGACAATGGAACTGACTAGTTTGACAACTGACAAATTGAAATCAAGTCCTTCCATTTTATAATTATTCTATATCTTATGTGAGGGAAAACATTTAAACTGCCATGAAATGCGAACTGGGCTTGCTTTATAAATGCTTGTTAGACTCACTCATTGAATTGATAGATCTTCATCATGCCTAATTTTCCTATGTCAACTTCTGCAGGTTGAATCGTACAACACCGAAAGGGCATTGCGGAAGATTAAACGTCATTCATCTTCTGCTGCTTTGGATGTTAATGAACCTGGTGCTAAGTTGGTGACCAAGAACCAATCTGTAGATCAGAAAGGAGTTGGTGATTTGTCAGGGCGTCATGTAGAAAGATTAAAGTTGATAACAGAGGAATGTGGTGTTAGTCAGAGTAATAACATGGAAGGTGAAATCCAATCATCTGAGCAAGACAGAATCAACGTGAAAGATGGCCATTCAAAGAGTTTCATTGGTGGGCCCTCAAGTTGGTATGATGTTATTCTGTAAAAAAATTTAGGACCTTGCTTTATGATTTACTGAACTGCATTTTAAATTTATTTTGGAAACATCATATTAACTTGTTAAACAACATGCAAATTAGAAAGCTTGAATTTTCATGTTGATGATAGATTTAATTTTGTTTACCATAGCATGATGTTAGAAAGCTGCTGTAGACAATGGAACTGACTAGTTTGACAACTGACAAATTGAAATCAAGTCCTTCCATTTTATAATTATTCTATATGTCATGTGAGGGAAAACATTTAAAATGCCATGAAATGCAAACTGGGCTTGCTTTATAAATGCTTGTTAGACTAAGGGGGGTGTTTGGGAATTAGCTTTTTTTAGTGGCTTTTTTAGTAGAGAGAAGGACTTGATAACTTGTAATGGCTTTTTGACTTTTTGGCTAAAAACTCTAGTTCCCAAGCAAGGCCTAAATCTAGTTTCCATGGTTCTCAAAAAGCACATCAAAATGAAATTACACTTGCTAGTGAAGGCAGTTTATTTATATGTAAGAGGCATAATAGTTTTGGGATTTGTTGCTATGCTAGTTGCAACAGGATGGTTCTTGAACTATCGTTTGTTGGCCCTTTCTTCCCTGTATCACATGCTTGCTTTTTAAACTGGAAAAATTATGTGTAGAATTTCCTTTACTATTTCTCCTTAGCACATGGTTTCTCATTTTCAAGTAGGTTGGTTTCTTTTTCAGGGATCCATACTCGAAGGGAATTGATCCTGATGCATTGAAAACTTCTCTAGCCGCACGTGGTATCTAAATTCTATAACAATTCCTAAAAGCATAACAATTGCCATTCTATCTTTTAGTGTTTCTTTGAAAATGTTATATGCTTTTTGATGAGCTTTACACTTAGTTATCTGATTTGGTTGGTCGGTCTTTGTCGTGGAAGGCCCTAGTCATATTCCTGGATTTAATTGTTGTCTTGTTGGCTGAGATGCATGTGATCACTTGATGTTGCAGGGGTCTTTCAAAATTGTTATTTATTTTTTGCTTTTTTATATAATCTCAAGTGGTGTGGTTAAAAAAATAATGGTTGCCAATGAAGAAGTGGCAGTTGCTTCTTATCCTTGCTCCTATATGCCCTTGTATTTATTTCTCAATTCTTGTCATTACACCTGTGCACCTAGTAGACTAGTGTGATAGATTGGGTGCTCTAGCATTCTCCAACGGCATGCTTTCTGGACAATTTTCTGTTGGCTGCTAGATATGGGAGCAAGAGCACTCTAGAAGCTTCCACCATTGTGCTGCGTTAACTTATTTTCATCTCTTCCTTGCTCCTAAGCCTCTCCAAAGCTCTTTAACACCATGTTGATTGCCAAGTTATTCCTTACAATGAGATTTCCACAGAATTAAACATAAATTGAAGGAATTAACATCAAATGAATGCAACCTTACCTATGTAAATCAACATAAATATGCATTGTTAGGCATTAATGGTTAACAGGCTTGCTTGCTTGTACGTCTTTGTCCATATTGACACTCATCAACCCATTGATTCTAATTTTGGGTTTAGATATCTGAAAAATGAAGAAGCTAGTCAAGCTTTTCTTCAATTGAACCTGTATTTTCTGTTGCTGTAGCAATGTACCCTTTGTGAATCAATAAATTATTTATAATCACATCTGCTATATTCTATCCGCATGTGCATACAGCATGTAGAAAGTCAATTGGGGAAGAAAGTAAACTCTTGTTTAGCTGTTCTCAAAAGTTTTTTTTATGCCTTCTGTGACAGCTTCCATTTTTAGTTTTGGGATCTATGTTCATTCCTGCATGTTGGTGTTGCCTTTAAACTTTCTTTACATTCAACAAAACAATGATGAAGTAGAAATTAACGTGCTTTAATGTGACGTGCAGGAGCGTCAACATCCAATAAGAAGCTAGAAGAATCAAGACATGAGAAGCCATCTGAAACAGAACCAGACCAACTTGTTGAGGATGTTAAACCGGCTCCTTCTCCAGATGGGGAAGTGGGAACTGGAGGACAAACAAATGGAAAGAAGACTTTAATAGATGCAGTGAAGCCCAAGCACAAGAGAAAAAAGAAGTCATCCTCCAAGGTTGATGCAAGTTAGCTGAATGCAAAAATATATCCAGGTACGATATTTGACTTTTTTCTGTGCTAAAAATAATTTTCTTGCTGTGCATCTTACAAGTGGATGAATCAACTGGTGAATCTCAGGAAACTGCTATTGATTGGTTGAACTGGTTCTTAATATAGGCTAATAGCCAATATAATTCTGATAACTATGGTGTTAAAAAGGAATGGTATTTTCAAATTCTAAGACTAAACAAACATGGGACTTATTTTATGTGCAATCTGTTTATGTTTTATCGAGGTATTTTTGTCTTCTTCTGTGTATTTTCTGAAGTCATCTTTAAGTGAGTCACATGACCACTTAACATGGATTAATTATTAATGGGATGAGATTGCAATTTTTTTTAAGGCATCCCTAATTAAGCTCATCTGGATAAATATTTTTTAAGTAATACTTGTCCACTCTGTTGTCTAACTATTATTTGCAGGTCATCGTGATACCGGGGTATGGCTTGATTGGACTTTGATTTGATCCAGTGAAAGGCATATGGAGTTGGGAATGCTTCTAAAGTTGCAGCATTGAGTGTTTATTGTAGGAGTAATCCAAAAGTGAAACAGGAGAGGAAATGGTGTTAATATTCCTTCTGCACCCAAGGTTTTGTTTCGACTAAACTTTTACTCGAGGATTGATTTATTTTTATTTTCCTCACTCTCTCACTCTCTCTAGAAGACACAATGGATCGGTCAGTCAATCAAATCATGCTTCTATTTATAGACATAGCCCTAAATTACAATTTTTGTGGAGCCCAACTTACTCTTTCAGATAGGTTTACTGTAAAATATGATTGTTTTTAGTGTACGTCAAACTACTGAGAAATGGTTTGACTTGGGTACTATAAGTGAAACTAATAGGAGAAGTTATTGCTTGGTTAGAGACATTCATGGGCTTGCAAGTTAATTTCGTTGTTATTGTGGAGTATGCATGAATGATGTGGTTTTGGGCTGTAAACGAACGGGCCTAGTAGTGGGCTACTCAAACTTGTCTTGTTTTTAGTATAGTATAAATCATGAATGATGTGGTTTTGGGCTGTAAACGAACGGGCCTAGTAGTGGGCTACTCAAACTTGTCTTGTTTTTAGTATAGTATAAATCGAGTCGAGCTGAGTAATAATTGTTTAAGTTTGACTTATCGAATTTTAAGATGGGTGCAAAGTTGATTTAAGTTTTTCACGAATTGGAACATGAGTCGCTTGGTTTATTTTACAGTTGTAATATAGATATCTATATATCTGTAACAGAGGTGATAAAGAGGAAAACAAATTCCATTTATATTTTATATTTTATATGTATATATATTTTTATTTTAAATTTCAATTCAAAATTCATGATGGGAAAACATTTGGGAATTGGGATGTAGTTGGATCAACTGCAATAGGTTTCCTGTTCATGTTATTGCTTGACACCTGTTATGGATTTTTATTTTTTAGCAAACTTTTTCACGCATAATTGGTTCAATTCATTTATTAATTATTATTAACATTTCCCCTTTCCCTTTGTAATTGGCATAATTTAAATACAAGATGCATTTAAATTTATTTATATTATATGTTGGGCACTATGTGCGTAATTATCCTCTAACCAAGCAACGGCTCATCTTAAGCTCGCAATGATAACGCGAAATATTCATATTGTAATCTCAGCAAAATGTTAAGCGAAAAATCAATTTCATCAAAACATTGCTAAATACATAAACAAATTATTATGAGATGAATAGTTTAAATCACTCACAAAATGAAATATTGAAGAATATGGATTGAGGGTAGTGATATGGAGGAGACATTCCCACACAACCCTCACAAGGGTTAAGCAAACATCTTAAAATGACAATAAATAATTATTTAAAATTTTACTGCAATAACAAATAGAATAACTACATAGATATTTACAAAGTGCAACACTTCTCTTCCATCACAACTAAAACTATATGATTCACAAATAAAAAACTAAAGAATTTTAACTAATTAACATTTTCCTTGTGTACATATATACTAATATATTTTCCTCATGTACATTTGTATACATTTTTTTCACCCTTAATATGGAATCTCTCCAGCAAATTGCAATATTACCAAATAACTTTTTTTTAAAAATAATAATAAATTGCAAGAAAATCGCTCTAGGAGCACACTAACCTTCAAAATCCATATATTTTTCGGAAAGTAATAAGAACATATTACTAAAAGGGAGTACACTCTTTGTACAAAATCTAAGGACAAAAAGAAAGGCTCAAGACAAAATTTGAGCTCAACTAAATAGAAATAAGAAACAAAGACAAAATAATGTAAAGTTTAAACTTAAATAAACTCTCAATATGATTATATAATGTCCAAAGCATACACGCAAAATTTCCTAGCCATCCATTTTTTTTTATGAGTACTGTATTAAATTTTGACAGAAAAAAAGTTATATTTGTGTGTGCATACACACACACTCACACACTATTCTATGAAGGCAACAACTTGATGTCACCTCTTTTTGTGTGTATAAAATTGCCATCCAGATTGAAACAAAAGTCAAGAAAGATAATCAAAAGTCCATCAACAAAACCTTGTAAGGTGTTCAACATCACTCTCCAACATAAACTCATCATCCCAACCTCATCTAATCTAAGCCACTTAGGTCCTCTCCTTGGAGTTTTAAGTAAACCCTATTTCAACTTCAAAACTTAAATTCTCCCCTATGCAAAGCCCAAGAACACCTATTTGAAAGTTCCATTTTGGATTATCCACGATACAAGGCAAGTGTGCCTTCTTTATATTTCAATACTGATTCAACTTTACCCACCTACCAACATCACCAGCATTTGTCTTTCAAATTTCAAGTTCCTTTCAAGTCTAAGTTTACATGAGAGAACTTTTCACATAGAGGAGCGTAATAAGTACTAAACCCCCCAAAAAAAGGGGATAAGCAAAATAGGAGCAAAACAATTTTGATCTATAAAATGAGAACTAACATAAAGAAGTGCGAAAAATGCTTGATGGCCAAAATTTGTGTGGTCCGAATGGCTCGAATGTGTCAAAATGACGTCGTTTACACCCAAAACAACGTCGTTTTGAGATATTCGAGCCATGAAAATTCAGGTCACCTAACATTGTTCAAAGAGTGCTGGTAATAACTAGGATGGTGACAAAAACAAGAATTAAGAAGGGTAAGTCAATCCTTAACATAGTTTGCTATATATATTTCACTTAGAATCATATATCTATTTGTTCCCATATTGTCATGGAATATATACTCTGCTAGTGTGTTAGCATATTGAGTTTCATCTATTTTATGGCTCCAACTATTATTTCTGATTATTTAAAAAATAAATTTTCATGAACTCCTATTTATAGCAAATCAGCCACTTCAACCATGGCATCCAATCTGACATCGTTAGGCCTTGAAGTATAAGAAACGAGTCACTCAAGATTAAGACCACCTTCATTGTTCTTTTGATCTTTTCTAGCATACCTCTGTAAGAGATGTGAGTGTTGTAAGAACGGGCATACTAGACACTGCAGTGTTAACTATAGTTAGCTTAGTCAAGGATAAGCAACACGAGTGAATTTTTAAAGTTGACAGTGGACCGCCACCACTATAATATTTTCTACATATGGCACTCTTACAGAATCCAACCTATGTAGCAAGTTTATGCAATATAAATTCCTTAACCATTATAAGAAGACAGGATATTAAGATGAGTATATCTTTCTACAATTTTTTTACATTTGGAAATGCAATCAACCAACCTGAGCATTTTCCTCACGCTTAACTGGCTATATCGGCAGCTTCCAAAACTTCAGTATCTTGCTCTTTCACCACTTTCAGAGTCGGGCGCATCCTGATGGAAGCCAACGGATTACCTGCCATCAGGAGAGAAGTTAAGAATTGACCAAAATCAAAGGAAGGAAAAAATATCCATTTTCAGAAATTAAAACCAACAAAACATAGGCAACAAAAAAAAAAAAAGTGAAAAAAAGATCAAGGGGACTAGGATGCACAACCACTCTTCCTCAGTCACGGTAAACAGGTACTAGGGTTAACAGCATATGCTCAACATTGCATGTCCAAAACAAAATGGCAAGAAAGCAATGTCAAGAGAATGAGGGTCGTGTTAGTGAAAAAAGAGACTTCATATCATAGAATTAAATAAACAAAACCTAATGCAAATATTATTGTTCCAAATCCGCTATGTAAAACTAGTCACTGGAGCACCAAAACAAATTGTAATTGGTTTTCTCTAGGGTTGAGAAAGAATCGATAATTTGTCTTTGCTCATATTTTTCTGAAACAGATACACAACATAACGCTGCAAGAGCACAACTGAGTTACTGTACATATTATCACTCCCGAATAGGAAAAATCGAGGGCTGAAAAGGAGAAGAAAATCATATTTAAAAAAACTCAATAAATGCAAATGTAAAATGCATGACAGCCAGTAATACATCAAATTTAGAACTGTAAAGTGCACTATTGAGGTCATGCAACATCTTTCTGAAATTCACATGCAGTCTACTAATCAGTCTTTTACTGTTTTCATAGAAAATTTGAGTTTATAACACTGGACTGTTCATTTACCAGACACAACATAAAAAATTTCCAAGATTACAATATAATTCAAACATGAATTCATCCCTAACTTTACCCATGATTAGAAAAATATGCTAAAAATGCTCAATTGCTAATGTTTCATCTCACTGAAGAAACCATTCTGAACTTCAATCATAAATTGCTAAAAGGTGCTGTATTGCTAATGTTTCTTCTCACTGGACGCACCATTCTCAACTTTGCCATCATAGCCATGATAAGGAACTTCAATCATGGGTCTTGGGACAGCGCGGTCGCCAAAATCTTCCGGAAAGAATTCAAAATCCGGGCCAAAGTTGAACTTGACAACACAATTTGGTTGATTGGGAAGAGTATACATTGAAGCTGCAGGGTAGTATCGCCCACCATAAAGATCCTGAAAAGCAACCCCTTGGCATATCCCATTTTTGAAGAAAGATATTTCACTTCCTGCAAAGAAAAAGCAACCGGCTACCCACCATTACATATCCAGCTTGGCGAATTACTTAAATGTTTACTTATATAACAACTCAACCTGTCCTAATCCAACAGTTAGCATTACCAAAATATTTCTTTAATATGAATATAACAATTCAACATGTCCTAGCATTTCAATCAAGACAATTAGCTTAGTTACCACAAAAAATGTCTTTTCAATTTCAATTTAATTTCATATACATTCAACTAATTCAAAAAGATGTTTCCTAAAAATATCTTAACATAAAAAATAATAATACTATGGTGTTATACATTCAACTAATTCAAAAAGGTGTTTCATAAAAATATCTTAACATAAAAAATAATAATGGTATGGTGTTGTACATTCAACTAATTCAACATAAAAAATATGGGGATTCATTTAGTTAACATTTAAAAAAAAAAAAAAAATTATTTTCACTTGCATATACATTCTGGTTTGGGGTGTACTAATAAGTACACACTTTTTATCTTTTAACCTTTTTTGGTCACATCACCTCTCTACTTTTCTACATCTTTTCGTAAAAAGTCAAAAAATGCACTTATTTAGATCATTCCAAACCACCCAGTATGTTAAATTGAAACAACTCAAAATATGCTATTTTTTTTATATTATACAGAAATTTGAATTGTAGCACTCCATTAAGAGGCTAGCTAAATTAATATTTTTATCCTTCCAATTTGCATATGCATCAACTAAATCAGACACCCTTCCTCTTAAGTGTGCAATGATAAAATGTTACAATCATGTGCTTTTTGAACACATTATATTATCAAACTATTTCAAACTCAAGCACATGTTATTCAAAAAGTTAACCATAACCTCATAAATTTAGACATCAAGTTTTTAACATGATCTACCATATAAGACCTCCATAACCTCATAAATTTAGACATCAAGTTTTTAACATGATCTACCATATAAAACCTGATATAACATAGTGCATATCAACATAAGGCTATTAAAAAGAAACAAGAAAATAATGGAAAAGAAAGAAAAAAGGAATTACTGTACAACTGTAACATAATGGCACCCCCCCTTTGGGTCTAAAGCATACTAAAAAGCACTCTTGAGTGCTCTATGCACACTTGACTAAAGGTGCCTGTGCCGCAATGAACCGGGTGGCATAAGTGTGCCTCAAAGAAGTGTAAGGGATTCAAAAGCTCACACTTTGGCATAAGTTTGCCCAAGGGTGATTGGTTACAAGGTGACATCGGTTTGATCCCCTCCCTACATTTATAGGATAACTTCAATTGCAATTTCTCAGCTAACCCTTGAGACAATCGTCGACTCACTCTTCATCACCATACTTAGCGAAAGCCACTCAAATGTTATATCGAGCCAGCTTAAACACGATTGCAGTATTCAGGAGAGCTCTGCCAAACACTTGCAAACATGGCTAAGCTTGGGTCTTGTACACCCCTTCAACTCTGTGGCAAACTATAGTGACAAATAATATTATGGCAAACTGATGACCATTTTAAACAATTTCAAAAGGATATAATATATCTGCCTTATTTATCAAAATATATATATATACATATCTGCCTTCCAGGGATTTTTATTTATTTTTTTTGTGGAAAGAGATCAACAATAAAACTAAGAAAGAAAATAGGGGAAATTCACTTTACCAATTATGCTTTTCCCCAAAAACAGTTACATCCCCTGAACTTTTAAATCCTGCACTTAAACCCCTGTACTCCTGATTCCTGATTATAATGAAAACATGATGAATTGTGCCGAAAAATCTTCTCAATCAACAATGTTCACTCCACCCAGTGAAGCCGCAAGTTCGAAATTCACGGATAATCAAACAAGCAAAATTACCCATTCAAACCACTTGAATTTAACCCCTCTGCCTCTTCGCTTTTCCTTTCATATTCTCACTTTAAGCTTTCTATCTCTCTCTCTCTCTCCCTCTCTCTATTTTTCTTTCTGTTACATATCTAAACCAAACCACCACTGCACCGCCTCTACTGCCATAACTAAACAAAAATTACATGCATATGATGCTTAGGCATTCAAAGATAAATCCTTAAAATAAGAGATCTTCCAGTAATAAATATCAATTATATATATGGTAGTTGTTCTCACATATTGAATAATGAAATATAAAAAAACTATTATAGAATGACATTATTATCATTTGATATGCACATAATATATTATATAGTATAGACTTAAAATTACACAAAGAAAACTGAGGCAAAATAATCTTGAAAATAACAAATGAAAATGAAGTGATACCAAAAAAAATAATTGCACTAATGAAAAAAGAAAAGTTGCTGCTTAAAATTTTCGAAGGAAAAAAACAAATATCAGTGTACAATATATATTTCCAAACTACTTAGAACATTAACACAACCATAGGCAATTGACACCTTTTACTTGTCCACTATTTCCACTAAAGTATATTCTTTTCTCTCCATTCAGGGAAAAAAATCCAGATTTCCCCTAAGCTTCTTCCTCAGTTCCACATGTTGAAACTTCTACAACACCATCCATGACATGATGAGTTCACCTCGTTTTACAGCTAACAGTTGAACAAGATACACAACCAGGACTAGGGCTGTTTAAATATCTGAAAAACCGACTAACCCAACATGCAAAGGTTGATTTTGCACTGCTGAACGGTCGGCAGCGGTTCCTTAGAGTTTCAATATCTCGGGTGGTCAATCAGCGTCCGATTTGGACACATTGACCCGTTGATACCAAACAACCGAATTTAATACATAAATAAATGAGTTAATCTGCCTGGTTTTCGCAGATTGGATATTTAGATTATGAGATAACATTTAGCTGTATCTCCCAACAAAAGATAATGACAAATTAATAAGGTTGGCCACATGTCATTATTAGATTGGACGCTGAAGTTACAAAAATAAGGGTTAACCTCTCAGTCTCATCTTTCTCTCTGTCTTCTAGGTTTCCGCCGTCTCTCATTCCTTAGTTCAAGAAAACCTAGAGAACACAAAAAAAGCCATCACTTTCTCACAAACCCAGCCATCTATCTCTTTCTCTCTCTTACGATTGACATCACAAATCTCTTCATAAACCCAACCATCGCACTGCGACATCAATGGTGGAAATGGTGGCTCACTTCACAAGCTCAGCCTATCTAATCTCCTATATCTCAGATCTCTCTCTAGCAAATCGATGGAGGCACTAGCATTGGCCGATCTATCGTAGCGGTGGTTGTGATCACTGGTTCAGTGGTTGCGATCGATGGTCTCTCAGATCTCTCCAATGTGCGTGAGTTATTTCTCTCTCATATCTCCTCTTTCTTAGATATGCGTCCGAGTTTTTTTCTCCTAGCTGTGATTTGTGAAAACCACCCGCGACCATGGTCATTAGAATGCTGGTCTAACTCTTACAATCCTAGGATTTTGTGATCCATTTAGCCACAATCGATCCAGATCATGTAAAAAAATTCCTTATAGGCGATCTTGATAGTAGGATCTTATAGGATCGTAGAATCCCGATCATACCCTGATCCAATTTACAAGCCTTGATTTGTATTGTATGGGCTATTTTTGTTGTATATTTTATATTTGTTGTCTAAATACTAACTTTGCGCGGATCAAATGAATAAAAAATAAGCCATATTGAATCAAACTTACAAAATATACTAAAAAATAGCAAACTAGGGAATCAACATTTCGAATATTACAAAAATTTAGGAAAACGAACTAACCGAAAGAACAAACTGAGCCTTAGCAGGGTCTAGGGAGGGCATACACAACTTCACCCCAATTTTTGGAGAGGCTATTTTCTTGACTTGAACCCGCATCACCAAGGATGCTAACGGAAGACCTTACCGTTGGGCCAAGTTGCCCTTTTGAGTTTTCATCTATTTTTTTTTTTTTATAAATAACCCAACTTTGTTAAAGTATTATTCTTTTTCTTTCTATGCATTGTTGTATAGTGACCTTTGGTTTCGATGAAATGCAAAATATATACTATCTAGATTTCTGTTGTATAATATTATATTTACATTTTACATGGAGGACTATACTTTTCACAACATCTTGGCTTATTTTGTATATATTTTTAAAGAAATGTTTATTTAAATTAAAATAGTATGCAATTTTTCTTTTTCGGTAGGATCATACGATCCTTAATCTGATTCTACAATCAGATCCTGTTGACCCCTCCAATGATCCAATATTTGACAACCTTGCCTGAGACTAACTGGCAAAAACCGAATAAACAAGCGGTCAAGTTCGAAGCCGTCATCATTTGATGGAAGCTTCAAATCAAAAGAGTTGGTTCGAGTGATGGTTCCAACAGGGAACCCAACCTGACTGACCCATAAACACACTTAACCAAGACCATGCCAATGTTCACAGTCAATGAATACCAAAACCAACAAACAAGAAACAGCTTATAGATAATAGAAGCAAACCACCAGGCAAACAGATAAAACACAAAATTGCAAGCAAAATATACCAATTTCAAAAGGAAAACATTGCAAAAACTAAAAGTCACTTACCAGGCACAACTTTAGGAGGATCTTCCTTCCCGTCGGTGGCGTAAACATACCTCTGTCCCTTGTACCAAACCAAATGGGGAGCCTTTGGTGCATACAAATTTCCCTCGGGCAAATTAATGTAAAACCCAATAACATCACCTTCCACATACCCTTCCTCCCCATACTTCTCCCTCAAAGCCTTATGTATCTTACACCCATCAATATCCCTATACCCAAAACTATTAGCATCATATCCAACTGGCGCTTGCAAGTCCCCCTTCTCCATCGACCACCCGAGTCTCGTATGCCCCGTCTCACCCAACTTGACAACCTTAATTTCAAAATACCAAGCACCTTCCATAACCCCTCTAGTGGCTCTAACCATTCTATACCCTTTTGTACTACCAGCACTCAACCGATCCTCACCCAATTCCACTTTCTCTGCTTTGTAAACCTTAGACAAACAAATTTTCATATCGGGTGAATCATCGGTCTTATCAGGGAATCGAGGAATTGGAGTGATTAACACAGTGTCCTCAGTTTGGCCAGTTTGATTATTGTTCTTAGTTTTCTTTTTACCTTTTCGCGATGTCGGTTTGGTCCACACATTGTTGTTCTTCTTCTTGGTCGATTTCTTCACTACTGTTGTTGTTGTTGCGGCGGCTGTCATTCTCTTCGTTGTGGGTTGTGGTGGTGTAGTTGCCGCCGCTTCATCAGCATTTGCTAGGGTTTCCTGAGACGTCAAAGAAGAAAGTTGTTTCTGCTTCTTCGGCTGAGGCTCTTCTTCATCTTCATCATCGTCTTCATCTTCGGAAACTTTGGTGAATTTTGGAGAATCGCTTAGGTCTTCTTTCTCGTCTTGATTCGGTTTCTCAATCTGTGGATTGTCTGAGATTTGATCATCATCGTCGGAGAGATCTTCGGAGGCAATTGGTTCCTCTTGGGGATCGATTAGTGGTTCCGTTTCTGTATCGGGAGTTGCGGCGGCAGTGATGGCAATATCATTGATTTCGTTGTTGTTGGATGAATCGCCGTCATCGTCCTCAGCTCTGTAAGTGTCCCGAAGGCTATCCATTTTGCAGAGGAGTCACACCGAGAGAGAGAGAATTGGCTAAAGGTCTTGTTAGGGTTTGGGAGCTCAAACCGCCATGGACGAGAGTGTACTGTTCTGTGCTTTTTCGTCTGAGAAGCCAGCCAGGTGTTATATGGGGCTGGTTTAGTTTTAGAATTATAATTTTTTTTATGAATCTGTAATAACTTGACAAAAATACCATGGAATGTGGTAATTTTTCTAGAAAAAAATGTGGAGTTATATATTTAGCAGCACTTTTTTCTATGCTAGACAGAAAGGTGGTAGGTTTGCATTAATGAATTTCAGTGAAACCTATTATTTTGTGTTTATTGAAAAGAAAATTATTTAAAAAACTCCCCCTAATTATTTATAAATATGAGTGCAAAACAAAGTCAGGACATACAAATCACCCACCTTGTGCTTCAACATATTGTTTCCGCCATCCTAACAATGCAGTCTTCAACAACTTCCATAAAATTGAGCAGATTTTCATTAGATAATTTTGCTGTTAACCTATGCAAAATTCTTGGTATTTCAGGACTAGTCCTCTACTTAGCATACCTGTTCTTTTTCAGCCAATCCAGCTGCCCATCTTCCCAATTCTTCACCCCCTTCCAACACATACGGCCAGTGTCACCACCTTCTCAACAACTTAATAACCTCACTCATACCAATCATTCCTCTCCCACCAACCTTAACCACCTTGTTTTTGGCATTGTAGGATCTGTCAATGCATGGAGACATCGAAAGGCCTACACCGAGTCATGGTGGCGCCCCAACGCAACACGTGGATACCTCTTCCTCGACACACACCCCACTGATGACCTCCTCCCCTGGCCGCCCTCTTCTCCTCCTCTTCGCGTGTCCAATGACATATCTAAAATTGTGGAAGAGTCAAAGCATGTCGCTCCAATCATGGTTCGCATGGTACATGCGATTTTGGAGGTGTTTAGGGAGGGTGATGAGGGGGTGAGGTGGTATGTGATGGGGGATGACGATTCTCTCTTTTTTGTGGACAATTGGGTTGATGTTTTGGAAAAATATGATCACACTAAGTATGTTTACATTGGGGGACATTCAGAGTTTTTTATGTCAAATATTTGGTTCTCATTTGATCAAGGATTTGGTGGAGCTGGATTTGCTTTGAGTTATCCTCTTGTTGCAGCAATGGTGAAAGATTTAGAAGGGTGTCTAAGAAGATATCCATATTTGAACTCAGCAGATTTGATTACTCAGTACTGTGTAGATGAGTTGGGCGTTCCTCTATCTGCTGAGAGAGGGATTCATCAGGTAAGTCTTAATTTTTTACATTCACTAGCTAAGGTCTCATTTGGAAACATAATTTTAAAGTTAAAAATATAAAAACAAAATTAGAAAATTAAAAAGTCACTAAGGTGCGGAGTAATACAATGCAGATTGATCTACACGGTGACATATCAGGGTTTTTGTCATCCCATCCACAATCTCCAATGCTCTCCCTCCACCATTTTGACCAGATAGAGCCTATCTTTCCCACCATGAACCGTTCCCAATCTGTTAACCACCTCATGAAAGCTGCGAAAACCGACCAGTCCCGTATGCTGCAACAAACCATCTGCTACCAAAAACAAACCAACTGGTCTTTTTCCATTTCATGGGGCTACTCTGCCCATATTTATGAGAAAGTGTTGCCAAGAAGTGTTTTGAAGAGACCACTTGAGACATTTTTGCCATGGTTAGATCTCAAACACCGACCATACTACATGTTCAACACACGGTGGCCACCTTTTGTTGATTCGTGTGAAGCTCCTCATGTATTCTTCTTCGAATCCATTGATAGTTCCATTGATAGTTTTGAAGGGCACAACCAAATTGTTTTGACTTATGTTCGATCCAAGCCACGGGGTTTACCAACTTGTTCATTGAGTGGGAGTCGTTCTGCTGATTCTATCTCCAAAGTTCGGGTCTTCTCGCTGGCGACAAAGCTCCCTAAGGTGAGTTTGAAACATGTTTCATATATATGCGGTTTGTTATACTTTAGTTCTCAATTTTTAATTTTTATTTATTTATTTTCATTATTGAAATATACGATCTATCACACTTTAGTTATTGACTTGAATGCCATTCAAAACCAATAGCAGAAGGGAGTATTTTTGGAATTTTAGAAATAATTATATTTGGAAACAAATTAATTTATCCTCATTGAGTAATATTATTGAAAATAAAGATAGAATTTTTTTTAAAAATAAAACAATTTAATTTATCATATGAAAAAGACATTGTTACTTATCTATCCAATCTCTCTATCATGAACGAGTCATAATTATTTACTCTTTCTTTTTGTCTATCTTGTAGATTGGAAGAAGTGAATGTTGTGACGTTGTAAAAGTGGGTGAGAACAACATAACCGAGATCAACATCAGAACTTGCAGGGATGATGAGATAATTGCTTAATTAGATGTTGTGATCTTAATTTCTCATTTTTTTTTTCCACGCAAAGATACACCCTGCAAATCTTATTAAGAGTTAGCAAATTCTTAGCTTGGTTAGGATCAAGATCAGCTATATTTCTTTAATTTGTTAGACTAGGCCCAAATGCTATGTTTGGTTTATGAATTTGAATAGAAATTTAGAAAAGAAAATAGAAATAATAGGTAAAATATGAATAAAATATAACTATCTTTCACACATTTTTTTCCTTCTTGTTTTTTTTTTTTTAAAATTTAAATTCTTATATGAATTTATGAACTAAACACAATTTAAATGTTTCGTTGAAAGAGAAATTCTTTGTGAAATTTGCAATAGAATGGCTACAATTGCTATGATGATTAAATTAATTTGACTTCGTTTGGGAAGAAAAATTTTTAGTTAAAAAAATAAAAAATATATATTATAAATTGTCATATTATTTTTTCTATTTTTAATATAAAAAAATCATAAAAAAAAGGTCAAATCCCAACCCGCCCTTTTCCAGCCATACCAGAGTGTCAAACTTCATGCAATTGGTTGAATCCCTCAAAGTCATATTTGTTAGCATTCAATTCATATGCATTGAATGATATGTGTTATGTAAATAAATTGAGATACAAAATCATAGAAGAGGGGAAAGTTGGAAATCGTGATTAGACTCATGAGATCTTCGTCTTCAGATTTACCTCATATCTCTCTCAACCCCCTCTCGCCATCAACACCATCACCACTCTCCGATCACACTTGGTACTTCGAGATTTGTCAACGCAAAATCTAAGAAACACTGCACGAGGCCTGAGTAGAGGAGATGGAAGAGCCATTACAGGGCAAGGGAAGGGTTTGAGAATGGAATTAGGGTTGATCTGTTAAAAATGATTTTTATTTTGAGCAGATTTGAAAATTGGTTACTTTAGTTGATTTTTGTAAATTAATTTTTTATATAAAGACAGGTAAAAAAATAAAAATAGTGATATGATTGGCAGTTTCTACTTTTTAACAATTTTAGCTAAAAAGTCTCATTTCGGACGGGTCCCTTTATCAAGGACAGATCTAGAAGGTGTGGATGATAGCAATCGCAACTCCAAAAATTTTAAAAAATATTATATATTATATTAAAAAATTTAAAATAATCAAAAAAGTTTGAGAATTTGCATTCTCAAACATTCGTATCCTATAGTGATAAGTCGATCTGTCTTTAGCTTTTATATAACAAATAAGATAATGATACATGTTAAAAAAAATTCAAAAGATATTTGGGAAGTAAATATTTTAATTTTAAAAAATAAAAATTATTAAATTATTATTTACTTATCTTTTACGGTTTATTTTTATTTTTATTTTTTTTAAATTATTTAAAAAAGTCAGTTTTCCAACAAATCTTCAACCTTTACTCTCTTTAGGTGGAGATGAGCTGAAACAATATTTAGAATGGCTGCATCTACATAATTTTGTTTCCCAAATTCTCTTTAAATTTGAAGGGATTTGGAAGTAAAAATTATGTGAATGAATCATTAATCTATTTAGAATTAGAATTATTATTGAGTTGAAAATTTGAAATTTAAATTAATAAAATTAAAATATCAAAAATTTAACTTGTTAGAGTAGGCCCAAGGCCCAAACCATATTGGACTAATTTTTAGCCCAAACCATTTGACCCAATCCATATTTGTGCGAGTGTAGACCCTAAGGCCATGCTTGTATTGGATATGATTTTTAATCTCTTTTCAAAATGCAATACCAATTTAAATATGTGATATGATACACAATTTAACGGGGTTTGGTAATTAATCTCATATAATTCAGTTTGTCCAAACAAATACGATCTAAATTGATTGACATCATGCCTTCACCCTAAATTAATTAAGCTTAACCAAGCAGGTTTAGGGCCATTTTGATGCCAACACTCGCAAAAATAATTTCCAACCCAATTTGATATGTAAAAATCAAAAGTTTTTTTATTAGTTGATCCCAATAATTGAATCTATTACCCATTAAGTCCTAAGTTTCTATTTCATGCACTAGGAAGTCTTGTTATATTTTTTTATCCCGATTTTGCCCTTGCTGTTATATTGCTAGAGCCGTTGATGAATTAGTGGTGTTAGTGAACATGAGAATTGCTAGAGCCATTGATATATTCGTTGGTTTTGGTGAACATGAGAACCGCCTTTGTGGCCCTTGGATTTAAGAGAGATGGTGTTAGATCTAAGAGAGATCAAGAAAATCGACATGAATGGAGATGAGGTGTGTTGACACTGATGAGTTCCAGAGCGATTGATGAATTCGTTGGTGTTGGAAAACATGAGAACTGTCTTTGTGGCCCTTGGATTTAAGAGAGATGATGTTAGATCTGAGAGAGATCAAGAAAATCGACATGAATGGAGATGGGTGTATTGTTTAAACCAGCGATAAATTTATCACTGATGAATTTGTTAAAAAAATTACAAATAGCTATACTTGATTTGAGAGAGAGAGAGAGGGGGTATCACAATAAATTTATCACTGAATTAAGTAACAAATTTATCATTCATAAATTAAGTAACAAATTTATCACTAAATTAAGTAACAAATTTATTAGATCAGTTACAGGTCTATAGAAAATCAACAGCACCTTTCAATGCACTAATTGGACATTTGGCATCCCAAACTGGTGATGGAGGAAAATGGTGGCAACGATGATGTCGAAAATGGTAGATTGGTGATGGAGGAAGATGGTGGCAACGACGATGTCGAAGATGGTAGATTGGTAATGGAAGAAGATGGTGGCAACAATGATGTCAGAGATGGTAGATCGATGATGGAAGATTACGGCGTTGAAGCTAGTAGATGAATGATGAGGGAGGAGCAACGGTGATGGCCACGAAGGAAAATGAGATGATGGTTGGTGATGGAGGAAAAGGAAATGGTGTGCTAGTGACAGAAATAGAAGGAGAAGAGAGAGAGAGAGAGAGAGAGAGAGAGAGAGAGATATATGTATGTTTGGATTTAAGGTAAAATCACTCAACTGAATGTAAGGGGTAAAAATAGAAGATGCGCTTAATTATTTTGGGTTAGGACTTTGTAGGAATTAAGTTCGGTCCAAAGAACCGGCCCGTAACTCCCCCAAAAATCAATTGATATGTATGTATATTTTTTTCACCAATATATCAAGGTGTAGATGGTATATGCCAAACGATCAAATGTTGTTTCTATCTTACGCTCTTTTCGTCTCAAATTGTTTTTCTGACATGAAAAATGATATGTTAAAAATAATGTATTATAATATCAAAATTTATAATTTTTTTCACCAATTAAAAGATTTTATGATTTTTTTTTTAAAATTTTGATACAAAAATACATAATTTTTAAATTATCTTTTTATGTGTTTCTTCTCATACAACATTATATAAAATAAAAAAATAAAATAGGGAATTCGCCGGAATGAGTTTCACAGTTTTTGGGGTTTGATAATGTGACGATGGAAAGAAGGATCTAGAAAAGGTGTGTTGTGGTGTAGGTGGATTTAGCATGCACCTAACTTTTTAGAATAATTTACACCAAACCTTTGACATTCTACTCTCATAGATGGTTTTCTAGACTTGAATGCATTTATCATGTATAGTACTAACTTTTATTTTCATAAAAGTATATCAATAGAAATTAAAATTGTATTTAGATTATGAATTTAGTTAAGAATTTAAAAAATGAAAATATAAGTGAAATATGAATAAATTGTGTTATATTTCATATATATCATTTTCATTTTTCTTAGTCTTAATTTTTTATTTTTTTATATTCGAGAATCAACTTATTGTTAGATAATGTCTCAATGGGACCACATAATTAAATGTGGTGTTATCATTTATAAGAAGCCTACAATTTAAGTGATTCAATTTAGTTAATAGGCTTAAGGGTATATGTGTTATGGACCTAATGTGTAGATACTAGTTGTATAATTTTTATTTCTATGAGGGACAGAAATAGAAATTAAAACATATTGGTTAAAGTTGGTTTTCATTCATTTTGAACTTCTACAACCTTTCAGTTTTGAAAACCAATTACAACCTTTAAAAGGTTATGGTCCCTATTCCTTCCCAAGTGGGAAAAATAAGAACACTGCCATTTTTCTTTTTAAATCCTCTCAAGGAGAAACATAAGGCACCAAAGGGACAGAGCGGTTATATCATGTGTATTATCAGAATAGATATGCTTTTATTCATCCTATTTAGTTTCTTGGAATCAGATTCTGAATTTTCTTATGGATGTAAATTATGTTTTTTCCTGTTTTGTT